GCATTGAACATGGCTGCGTAAAGCAACCTATCCTCAATTCGGCCCAAGTGTCGACGTTCAAAACCACCGGGAAAAACATTGTAACATAGTAAGCCGGGCGTCAACACAACAAACCCTGAATGTTTGCATGGAATTCTAACAGATGCGACTCTTCATCAGACCCTGTTCAGGTCTTTACCGGACCATCCATGTCTCTCAGATCCATCCTTGGGTGAGGGCCAGCAGCTTGAGTCTCATCCACGTGCCATGGAGCACTGACTCTTGCCATGGCTTTCCACACAAGATGCCATGGGGCAAACGCATGTGGCCCATGAAGGCGGCTGCACAAAGCTCCACGATGTCCACCACTGGAAGAGGAAACCGCCGACTTCCTGTGCCATCGGCGCCAAGCGCGCTGTACGTCCAGCGGCTGCGTGCCGCAGAGCCATGAGCCCAGATCGATTGGCTCAATTTGCCAGCTGCCAAGCGGGCGCAATCCAATGTGTTCCCCGTGAAGACCTGGAGATCTGATTTTTGCCGATGTTTCCCCCTGAATACCTTGAGGTCTTTCGTTTGCCCCTTTCTCGTTGCAGAATGTACCCCAAAAAGCCGAAAGTTTATCGTGTGCGCCTCGGGCACGCGTTGGCGTGAACACTTATGCGGTCGGCTTACACTTGCAAAGGATGCTGTCCCATGATGCTCTTGGTTTTGTGTCAACACATCGAAGAATCTTGAGGAATCTCTTCTTTTCCCCCATGGAAAATGAGCATCAAGTGTTTGGCTGTTCGTAAGTGACTGCGTGACAGGGCGCCGGACGGGGAACTACATGGGACAGCATCCCTTGCAAGGCTAGGTCCTCCAGTAGAGAGGTTAGAATAAGGATACCCTTTTTTTTCTGTAGTCTATTTTAGTAGGGGAACCCTCCCCCCCCAAAAAAGGGTAAAAGGGTACCTAGAGAGGTTCGAACAAGGGTGCCCTTTTTTCTGTAGTCTATTTTAGTAGGGGAACCCTCCCCCAAAAAAGAAACGGTAAAAGGGCACCTAGAGAGGTTAGAAAAAGGGTACCTTTTTTTCTGTAGTCTATTTTAGTAGGGGAACCCTCCCCCCCAAAAAAAAGGTAAAAGGGCACCTAGAGAGGTTCGAACAAGGGTGCCCTTTTTTCTGTAGTCTATTTTAGTAGGGGAACCCTCCCCCAAAAAAGAATCGGTAAAAGGGCACCTAGAGAGGTTAGAAAAAGGGTACCCATTTTTTCTGTAGTCTATTTTAGTGTACCTAGAGAGGTTCGAACAAGGGTGCCCTTTTTTCTGTAGTCTTTTTTAGTAGGGGAACCCTCCCCCAAAAAAGAAACGGTAAAAGGGCACCTAGAGAGGTTAGAAAAAGGGTACCCTTTTTTTCTGTAGTCTATTTTAGTAGGGGAACCCTCCCCCAAAAAAGAAACGGTAAAAGGGCACCTAGAGAGGTTCGAACAAGGGTGCCCTTTTTTCTGTAGTCTATTTTAGTAGGGGAACCCTCCCCCAAAAAAGAAACGGTAAAAGGGCACCTAGAGAGGTTAGAAAAAGGGTACCCTTTTTTTTGTAGTCTATTTTAGTAAGGGAACCCTCCCCCGCCAAAAAAAGGTAAAAGGGTACCTAGAGAGGTTCGAACAAGGGTGCCCTTTTTTCTGTAGTCTATTTTAGTAGGGGAACCCTCCCCCAAAAAAGAAACGGTAAAAGGGCACCTAGAGAGGCTAGAAAAAGGGTACCCTTTTTTTCTGTTGTCTATTTTAGTAGGGGAACCCTCCCCCCCAAAAAAAAGGTAAAAGGGTACCTAGAGAGGTTCGAACAAGGGTGCCCTTTTTTCTGTAGTCTATTTTAGTAGGGGAACCCTCCCCCAAAAAGAAACGGTAAAAGGGCACCTAGAGAGGTTCGAACAAGGGTGCCCTTTTTTCTGTAGTCTATTTTCGTAGGGGAACCCTCCCCCAAAAAAGAAACGGTAAAAGGGCACCTAGAGAGGTTAGAAAAAGGGTACCCTTTTTTTCTGTAGTCTATTTTAGTAGGGGAACCCTCCCCCAAAAAAGAAACGGTAAAAGGGCACCTAGAGAGGTTCGAACAAGGGTGCCCTTTTTTCTGTAGTCTATTTTAGTAGGGGAACCCTCCCCCAAAAAAGAAACGGTAAAAGGGCACCTAGAGAGGTTAGAAAAAGGGTACCCTTTTTTTCTGTAGTCTATTTTAGTAGGGGAACCCTCCCCCCAAAAAAAAAGGTAAAAGGGCACCTAGAGAGGTTCGAACAAGGGTGCCCTTTTTTCTGTAGTCTATTTTAGCAGGGGAACCCTCCCCCAAAAAAGAAACGGTAAAAGGGCACCTAGAGAGGTTAGAAAAAGGGTACCCTTTTTTTCTGTAGTCTATTTTAGTAGGGGAACCCTCCCCCAAAAAAGAAACGGTAAAATGGTGCCTAGAGAGGTTAGAAAAAGGGTACCCTTTTTTTCTGTAGTCTATTTTAGTAGGGGAACCCTCCCCCAAAAAAGAAACGGTAAAAGGGCACCTAGAGAGGTTAGAAAAAGGGTACCCTTTTTTTCTGCAGTCTATTTTAGTAGGGGAACCCTCCGCCCCCAAAAAAGAAACGGTAAAAGGGTACCTAGAGAGGTTCGAACAAGGGTACCCTTTTTTTCTGTAGTCTATTGTAGTAGGGGAACTCGGAACCCTCCCCCAAGTAGGGCACCGCTGGGGGACCTAGAAGTGGAAGTCACAGACAACTTGTTTTCTCCGCCCCAAAAGGGGTCCAGGACATGGGGCCGTGCCCCGTGCCCCGTGCCCGCTCCAGTCTCGCTCGATAGGACTCCATGTCGCGCCCTCCAGCCTTGTAGAAAAAACTCTCTTAAAATGTAGCCGTGCGGCACCTCCCAAAGGTCTCCTTATTGACTCCCTGGAGAATTGCAAACCTCCAGCAGACATCTAAGGGAAAAAAACAAACACCCGATTTGCTGGTGGTTCATTCTAAAGCGCAACCCCCCCAAAAAAAAACAAACAAACAAACAAACGAGTATTACGAGGCAGCCTTTGTGCTGGTACTTGATCATACACATCCGAAAAAGCCTCCACCAACAGCTCAAAGCACACAAGTGGAGGTCTGAGACCCCAAAACTAAGACTCAAACTTGGAGAAGCTCGGGCGGAACCGGTTCTGCGGGGTTTTAGGAAGGGGGCTTCACGGGACGAACTGCTAATCGGCATCCCACTTACCAAAAAAGACCGATTCCATCTGCATAACTTCCATTTGGTTAAGACCCCTGGGAAAAATACAAATATTTCCAGAAGTGATAAATTCCTTTTAAAACCAACAAGGGAAAACAATAAAGATTCCTTAGCAAATGGAAGATAACCCTTCAAAAACCCAAAGGCCACGGGATAAATCGGATCGTCGCCAGGTCGCCATTTCCCCGAATCGATCGCACCGAACGCCCCGATCGCGGCCGCTCGACGCGATAAGCGCGCTCGACGCCTGCACGAAGGCTTGGTCCTTGGCGCTGCTGCAGGCCTCGTAGGTGGAGGTGTTAGTCAAGGCCTCGAGAGCTGGGCGCTTCGGCGGATTGATTTCCAGGTGGGTCCCGGACCGCTTTGATCTGCGGGGGGCGGCCAAATGTTCCTGTTGGTGTAAGGGAGGGAAACCAATTGGTGTCCCTGAAAACCTGTCCCAATTGGTAAACCAACCTTAAAAAGGCTACCCTGAAAACACACGGACACGGACACAGACACAGACACAGATACAACGACACACACCCAATTACACACACACACACACCGAGAGGGGGGGGGTCTCTACATAGTGGGGGTCTCCACATATCTTCCCGCCTGCGCCGCCTCATTGTGCTGCGCCTTCACGGCAGTTTGCAGCCTGAGACAAATTCGCAGCCGGCAGCTGTCTATGGTTGATTTGGGAGGGACATTGACATCGGGACATCCGGAACACAAAATTTTCCACACAAGCTCGGGGACTCGCTGGTTCCGCTGGGGGAACACGTGTTTGTTCAATTCAACGCCTGAAACTATGAATATGCTCATGTTGCCTTAGTTGGCTTCAATACTCCATATTTGGAGCTGGTTTGCATCTGTCCCCGCTTTAGGGCAGGATACTCAGCAGCTGCTTTAGCAACGATGGTGGTAACTTAGTTGCACCCCGCCTGCCATGGTCAGTTTTTGGGTGGGCTTCTTAGTGATTGCCAATGCACTTACCAAGGATTCGGCCCCTTTTCAGCAGGCCAGTCTGTGAATATGGCCCGTGCCCTAGTGGTCATTTGGACCAAACCAAGCGGCGATCTAGTCGACTGTCTGTGAGATCTTTGAATCCAGCAGGCTGCACCGGCACCCTATGCAACTATGCAACATCCCACAGGGCAGGATTCAGATTTGCGTGGATTCCCGGCAGAGCGGGCAAACCATTCGGGCGGTAGAAAGACACATGCACACGCCCAAAATCAGTTGAACTTACTCGAAAGGTGGAAAACTGATGATACGGCCATGGGTCAAAATCCCGTACCCCCAGTGAACATCCCAATCCCAACTAAAATAGACTAAAATGGGTGGTGCACCTACCCCCAAAATGGTACCATTGGTTTTGACCCACAGCCATACCCTCCTTCCTAATGGACACCTGCAACAACAAGACAACTGGGCAGAAAATCCTTGCAGAGTGCAAGTGCGGACACATTTAGCAAGGACGCCTGGATATTTTGAACAGAACCTCATAGCGCCCCCAAAACTGATCGGCTCTTGGTTCTAACTGCAGGGTCCAAGTGCCTAAGGACGTCAAACCTCTTTTCACCCCCCAACAGCCATCCTCAGGGAGGTACTTGGAGGTTGAGAGATCTCCCTTTCCCACTCGCGCTTTCTATCGCCTACGGACCATTGTCAGCCTGGGAAACATACAATCACCGGGCTTCCCTACACAAAACGCCCAACAGCACGGGTGGAAAATTCAGATCAAATGTCCCTTGGAACTTTGACTGTGATAGGCCCATCTGTTTAAAAAAACAGTTGATGCTTCTTGTTTCCCTTCCGGGTGATTCCCTTGGTTGCCGACCTATTCACTGAAAAGGGATCACTCGGGCAAAGCAAAAATGGAAGAATCTGGTACACATTGAAGAACAGGTGGGCGTGTGGGAACATTCATCATGGGCTACTTATGAACCTAGACAATTTAACAAATTTGGGAAACACAATTCTCCACCCTGTTGGTTTCCTATTGGGGAAATGAACAATGTTGGTTTGAAGGGAACCCCACAAAAAAAGGTGGTTATCTTTTTCTGTTCCCTTTAAAGCCACCAACAAGCGGTCCCATTTGAAAAAAGACAAGACCACACTTTCTCAGGCCCTCGCGACTCAATGAGTGCGCGGATCTTGACGATGGTGCCATCGTCGTCCTTCGCCTCGAGGGTCCCCGGGAAATGGGAACCCCTTAACAGGGCTCCCGAGATTTTCCCTTAAAACATCACCCCCAAGGGACACTCACCTTTCATGGGCCAAGGTGATGTTTGAAACCACCAAAAGGGAAATATAGGGACCCCTGTATAAAGGAAACCAAAAGGAACACGAAAATCCACCTTGGGGTGTCCAACTTCTAAAGAACAACGGCAAGGCCGACATCCTCAAAATGTGGCATACGGCCGTTTGAAGGGAAGACCCCCTCAACATGTTCACTGGTAACCGGCCTTATGAAAAGGCCTGAGAAGGTGAGTAATACTCCCAGCGTTGGAACCCAACTGGTTCACCATGCTGAACCACACAAGAAGGAGAAAGGAACAAGCGCGCCACTGAAACAGGGATCCTTACATTATACCCCTGAACATTGCCTTGTAAATGGTGGTTTTTCTTTATTTTGGTGGAAACGCCATGTTTCAAATGGCAAAATGTATCTTTTAAGGAGCCCTGTGAAATGAGCCAAGAAAGCAAGGATCTCCAAAACGTGGCGACCACTTCTTGCCAGTCCGCGGTTGGAACTTTGGCCATGATCGCTCAAAAGCTCTGCCAAGCCAATCCAGATGGGCAACCAAAGGTTGCTTGTTGCGCTAATGCGTTAAAAGCAAACCTTGTGAGACTTGTGAATAAACTGAATTTGCTTTCTCAGCGAACAAAACGTTGACTCTAACGTGGGACACCACGATCTGAAAGGTGTATTGAGTTTATTGAACCTGAGCCGTCAATGACAAGAAAGGGGGGGTGGAGCCCAAGGTCCCCCAAACACCCCCAAACAAATGCCACATAGACCAAAACTGGGATCGGTGCGTTTTTGCTCCCCACCCCGAGATTCACCCCAATGCACAGTCTGAGTTGTCCTTCCAGTGGAGGAATTGCGAGTTGGTCTGCTCCATTTTTGCATTCTAAAGAGGCTAAGCTCCCTCCCAGAAGAAAAAACACCTTCAGCGAAGGTGGCTTTCTTAAAATATTCTACAGTATGGAGGAATTCTTGCAGTGGAGAATCTGGAAACCTGCAAGTAGGCTATGAGCCAGGGCAACTTTACAACTTGGCTCAACCAAAGAAAGGAATAAACCAGGGTTTCTACGTCATATGTTCTACCAACAGTTGGGGCTGAGTTTTGTGGAGGGGTCACCTTTTTGGGTTTGTTTTTACAGGGAACCAGACAACCAACTTTTTGGTCCCCCTATTTTGATGCACACCTGGACCTCAAACTACTCTAAAAGATCAATATATATATAGGCATCATGAATTCAAATTAGGGACTCTTTGGTGGACACCATTTGGGGTTTGATGTCCGACCACTTTTCAGGTGGTTCCAACTCTTAAAAAAGCTCATGGGGAATGAATTGGGAGCCTCTGGTGCACATCATTTTCGGTGCGGATTCATGTCCACCAAGCACTTTTCAGGTGGTTCCAACTCTTCAAAATGCATAGCCACACTTCCTGAGTGGACTAGCCGCAAAAAGTCCAAACAAGTCCCAACTGGTCATTTACCACGAAAATGGCAACCAACAACCCAAAAAAAGTGACCCCAAGGTGCAGGAACTCAGGAAGTGAGAAACCGCATCCCCCCAAAGAGACGAGGCTGCAAGGTCCAGCGGCTTGCGAGTGCCGGCGGCTCGCTCCCGCCTCGAGTGCCAGAGACCCCAAAGCCCCCGCCACCTCCGCCAGCGTCGAGGGGCCCGGCCTCGGTAGAGCTTAGGCCGGAGATCCGCACCTTGGGTATGTCTTCTAGGTCCTCCAGATTTCAGAGGTTAGAATAAGGGTACCAACTTGCTTTTCTTTTCTGTAGTCTATTTTAGTAGGGGAACCCTCCCAAAAAAAAAGGTAAAAGGGAACGGTTGCGAAATCCGCTTCCCGCACCACGGAATGAACCATGGTTCAAACCATAACGTTCGTTGCTATTGACAGGGAAAGCATCATTCCAGGGTTTCTTAGGTGGTGCAGGATTTCGTCCATCCACAGTATGTCTGTGTTTGGGGTACAAAACCACACCACAATGGCGCAACAGTTGTCCTTTGCGGCCTTTGCGTCTTCTTGTCTTGAACACCACGAACAATGAGTCAAAAAAGACACCCCCAGAAATGATTGGGACTATCCGTTATCTTCTGCCCAGGGTTTGATTCCTCGAGTATCTCCAAACTGAGAGGTCCGAGAGAGCTGTGGAAAAACCGAAGGGCTTGGTAGGGAGGAACCGAATCACCCTTGCCCCACGGGAAAACCAAAGGCACCCGACCCAGCGAGGTTTGTTTGTCTCTATTGCCCTTTTCGACCTTCCGCTAAGCTTCTGCGGCTTGAACGGTTGCTTGCGCGGCCACATGCATTTGTTCAAATTGCTTCCGCGGGCTTCTGGCTGGCATGTTTTGGTTACTGTTGATTCCGCGGAGTGTTGTTAACTTTGGCCTGCTGTTGCAATTTATGCTGTTCAACGCAAACAACACACACTTTCCACGGTTTTTCCGCGAAGCAAATCCGTCCGCGACTGCAGTCCCACGCACATGTTGCATGAATAGTCCACCCGCTTGCTTGGTCAAGCGGCCTGGTAGAACCAACCAAAACGGCCTCAAGTGCTGAGTGGGATCGCCAGACCCGACCCCAACCGCATCCATTGGTCCCCTGCTGCTGCTGCAGGAGCTGCAAAAGCCTCAGCTCACTGTCCCAACTTCTAGGAAGTCTTTCATGGAGAAGAGTCTGCTCAAACTCCTTCTTAAATCAGGTCCTCTTCGCTCACGGTTCAAGTCACAAACTCTTTCTTAAACCAGGTCCTCTTCGCTCACATTTGGTACGACCTGGTGATGGTCCAATAGATCAGCAACCTCAGTACTGCCAAACCTGAAATGGATCCCAGGAGAGCCCTTCAGTATGGTGTGATTCACTCTACCTCCAGAGCTTGCAAAAAAAGACATGTTCCCCATTCTCCCGCAAAGCACTTTCAAACATTCAAACAACTGCCACGAATCTTGGTGGTGTGCTACGCCGGGTGTGCAAACACATCACGCCGTGTCCAATTTGCCCCCGTGAGCTGGGGCTCCGGAGGCGCCTTGCTCGACCAAGGCCCAAGCTGCTTGCTGGGCGAGGCCGAGGCCATGGTGGCCTCAGGACCCAAGTGCCCCACAAAGGAATGTGTGTGCGTGTGCGTGTGTGTGGCATGTATATATATATATATATATAGACTATAGGTCCTCCAGTATAGAGGTTAGAATGAGGGACCAACTTTTTTTTCTCTTTTTTTTCTGTAGTCTATTTTAGTAGGGGAACCCTCCCCAAACAAAGGGTAAAAGCGCACTATATATATATATGTATTATATATATATATATATGTGTGTCCCCCGAAAACAGCGGAAACAGCAACATGCTGCAACACACACACACACACACCGTACAGGAAGACTATAAGACTTGTTTATTTTCCGGAACATCGATGGCTACACGTTTGAGATTCAGCATGGGTCATTTGATACTTCTTCAGGCTAGGGAACCAAGGAAGCCTCTACAAAGCCTCTAAAACATAGCAAACAACCGTACCTGCTATAGCGACTGGATCCACTGAGAGTGACTTCTGGTTGCACCAAAACAGGTATGCGGGAGTCTATATGAACCATTCTTGAAGGGTGGAGACTCCAGGTAGATGGGTGCTTCCAAAACGTGACCTCAGAGAGGGTTGGTTTCTACATTTTAGGACACACCGTTTGCTCCCGTCCCTAACTATTTTCAGCAATACGAACAGGGGAGCCCATTTTTCAAAAATGGCCAACTGGACGACTGAGCCGAAAGAATTATTAGGTGCCCCACATTGATTCTAAAGAGCTTCGCCCTGTCGCGTGATGTTGGTTGCTTTGTGGGTCCTTTCCCCAGGTCATCCCTGCACGTCAGGGCATCATGCAACAAACTTGTGCCATCTGGATTCAAAGGATGCGTTTGGTGGTTTGGACGTTGGCGGTTGCCCGCGAAGGTGACAATACACACTCACAGCAGGGTGAACTAACCGCAATCTGAGGTTACGTATGAGTTACAAGTGGATGATTCGTTGGCGGAGTAGTGGCTCGTAGAGACTTCCCGCACAGCCACAGATCATGGCGTGGCCAAACAGGTGCAAAGTCTGCGGAAATTCGTCAGGGCCACAAAGGGTATCAATGTAGCGCACCCCAGCATGCCACAAGATGTGATCAGGGCTCGGCGCACGAATCTCAGCGCCAGGTTCTCCGCTTGCTACCAAGGCTGTGGCAGAATTGGAAGAGATCCAACGCTCCTTGTATCTCTGTTGCATATGTTCCACAAACCGCAGATTGCACCTCAAAGACACGCGCGTGCGACCCGCAAAACATGAAGTGGCGCATCAGGCTGTGTCAAGCTGTCCGGAATAAAAGGTTTAAGGAGGTCCTGTTACGACACTTCCATGAGGTCGTGGTTTCTAGCTTCTTTCAATCTTCACAAGGGCTTGCATTTGAGGGTACTACCATGGCTCTTGGCCAGGTCTCGACCCCAAAGTGCGCTTCTTGCTGGTTGGAAAGAGGGAATTTCAGGCACAAAAGCTCTCAGCGTTGTCTGGTGCTGGATGGCAGCCATTTCTCTTGGGGTAAAGCACAACCGGCAAAGAACCCTCGAAACCATTTCGATCCGATCTCCCTCTGTCACTCTCTACCTTGCTGTACCTCTCTACCTCTCTACCTCTCTCCACTCTCGCTCTCTGTTCCTCTTTCTCTTTCTCTCTCCTTTCAGTTTCTTAATCCTGAGTGGACTGGCCAAACCCAAAAAGCGTTTGGAGTCCAGGAACTCGACAGATCCATGGCACGTCTCTCTGCCAAGCGGCCACCAGCACTGCGATCACTGACCTGCCTCGGCCGCGAAAAAAACCTCACCCAACCCCCCCGCGGGAAGAAAAAAAAAAACTGGACTCATGAGTGATCCCACTGCCCTTGGCCCACCGGATACTCCAAGAACAACATCTTCAGATTCTCTTTAAAACTTCGTCTGCCCTAATGTGAACAAATAGCTTGGAGACCGCAGGTGTGGCAGCTGGCCACGGGAAGCACCCTTTAACATCCAAAAGGAACATTGCGAAGTTTGCCAACTATAGTGCTGACACGCCTGGGATCCACTGGGATCCACTTTGGGTGACCTGAAATGGGCTGTAACCCATGGGCTCCAGGACGCGACACACACATGTAAGTCTTTTGGTGCAAGCCGGATTCCGTTTATTAGAGCCCGTTGAGGGAGTCCTGATTCGTGTTGGCAAGAAACCCAACCCAAGATACCACGACTATGCCTCTGAAAAAGGAGGCTGCAAACTAAACCCTGAGCGTTTCACTCAGGTTGGCTTCCCTCCGCGTCATTGTGAGAGCTCAAGGCTCCCATCCACCAGCGGATATGCGTCCACACCCCCGCAGTCAAGTTGTCGATAAGGGTTAAACCTGTTCACGCCTGAAATTCCAGTTGAGCCTAGGCGTCCTTTTGGAAAAATCAATGTTACCGACTCTGAGAGTGCCAAAGTTAACCCAATTGACCGAAGAAGACTACCTATTCCATTGAGGTTTCCCTTTAGCCCTCAGGCAAGGCAGCGCGCTGGCTGTGGCTGAAGCTGTGTAAGCCCTGTGAGCATCTTTGACACAAACAGTTGGTACCGACTCTTCTTGGCCCACATCTTGGCACGCCAAAACTCATGTTTTCAATTCGGTCGTATTTTGGTCTACCCTAAACTTGGTTGCTGACCCCTCTGCAACACGTTTCACTATTTGTGGGTTTCCCGCGGAAAAAAACCGGCCTGTTTCAGCCAAAACGTGATCAGTCCAAAGACCCAACCAAATGCTCGGTCCTCCAGTAGAGAGGACCGAAAAAGGGTACCCTTTTTTCCTGTAGTCTATTGTAGTGGGGGAACCCTCCCCCAAAAAAGGGCAAAAGGGCACTACTGGGGGGCCTGGAATGAGTCTCCAGCTTGGAGGGTCTTCTTCCAGCAAGAACCCTGCACAGCAGCAGGTCGATCTCTATTGTGGTGGGGGGGTCACCGTTGGTTTCCCGAAGATTCAAATATGGAGCCCAGTCACAAGTGCCGCATCCTTGTAAAATGGGGTTGAGTCATTAGTGGCATAGTCATGAAAGCGGTTGATACACCAATGGGATTTGACAAAGTGGCGCTGGAATTCTGAAAATGGGTGCGTCAGTTGTGTGGGAAAGCCCCAACATGTTGCTTTCCCTTTGGCTTCCCGAAAGGAAAAACAAACGGGGGGGAGGAGTTCCCCCCCAAAATGGTAGAAAAATTCGACAGGCCCAAGCCGGTGAGTTGCGCTTGGCTGAGCCGCGCACATGCCATCTTCATTTCGCCAGAGAGGTTTCGGATCAAGGAACTTGCGCTTGCGTTCGGAACCCCGGAGCCACGTAATCGCGGCTGCACAAAGGGCGATTGGCCGAGTGCGCGATGCGTTGATTTTTTTCTTCTCCGGTTCGTCTTCTTCCCGAGAAAGGTTGGGCATTTGCTTCAGCACCATGCCCGATTCGGAATCGGCCATCTCAACAAAAACTAAAGGGAGGATATCACGAGTTTACCGTCTCGCAAATCAAGAGACGAAACTCAAACAGGGGTTTGCCACAAAAAGAGTCCCTTCCTCAAAAATGATGGTTGTATGGGTTCCGCGTGTTTTTCTCTGCGCGGGCGCGGGGAGTAAACCAGGGGTTGGCCCCGTGCTTTGTGTGCCCCACTTTATGTGCAACACCTAACCTCTTCAAGATAGACGCACTGCTCATAGAAAGTTTGGGAAGCGCAATGGAATTCCAGACAACAAAACCTACCGTTTACTGCCCAGCAAGTTTGCCAAGTGACCATCCATAGAGCTATTGTGGTGCCAGGGGACCCTGGCAGAGAAGAGCGTTTAACGGAAAGACGACCGGTACCATCATCTTGGAAAAAGGTCCTCCCACAGCTGGTCGTGGTCGTCACAAGGGGCCCCGAGCTTTGGATGATCTTCGCGCAGAATGCAAGCATTCTAGGGGTTGATTCCCATTCTTTTCAACCATCATTCTTTCAAAAACCAGCTGTTTGCCCTTGGATTCTGCTGGTTTTCTGAAAAGAAGGATCCCTGGAAAGAATGGGGAAGTGTTTGCTAGAAGCATCCAACCTGATCGGCGCCAGACAACTCTATGAATCAAACAAAGAACAAACAATTCCTGCCCGGTGTGAGGTGATTTGTTTTGATCCACAAATTCCGGTGACTGGTGTGGAAACATGATTCTGCGCCCAGAGGGCGAGAGACGAAATCTGGTTTTACCACTCAGCTTTTGGCTTTTGGGGGGAGCTTCTCTGGGTTGGCAGAGGGCCGAGGAGGAGTGAGAAGGAAGGAGCCGGGGGCGTGCTCAAAAGTTTTGTTTACAGCAACCACGGTTTTCTGTATGGTGCGCAGGGTTGTCCCCCGTTTATTAGGTAGAGATTGAGAGGCAAACCTCTGGTAACCCCATCCCGAAGCCATAACCCCAACCCCCAAAAAATACAAGGGCCTGGTAAAGGCTTATCAAACACGCATGCGGTTCGGGGTGGGATCCCCCGGTCAACCTAGATTGGTGAGGACCTCACAATCAAAACCGATCGATATCAAAATGGTCGATCCCCAGAACCATGTCAAGAACACAAAAAGAGGATATCCATACCCATTTGTGGCTGGCATTGTTTTTCACCCTCCAATCACCCGGGTTTTGAGTATGACTCAAATGGATCAAAACCTGGTCAGAGCCCTCGGCGGTCCAGCTGGCAAGTTTTTTCCCGCGGCGGGCTGCAACTGACGCCTCTAGAAACATTGCTCGCCTTGCATTGCCGACTTGGCCCTCGATACGCTCGTTGTTCCATGGCCTTTGCTAGGTCCTCCAGTAGAGAGGTTAGAATAAGGGTGCCTTTTTTTTCTGTACTCTATTTTAGTAGGGGAACCCTCCCCCAAAAAAGGGGTAAAAGGGCACTACTGGGGGACCTAGTTTATGTTCGATAACAACGTGAAGGCCAGTGATTCCAAACCACCATGAAATCCTCCAAGTAAAAGGTACTTGGACCGCTAGGGTAGCGAACCAACCAATTCCCAAAGTTGAATTGTTGGCCGGGTTTAGTGTCCAGGGTCATGTACCCCAAAAAGCACACCCTGTGTTCGATGCTTTTTGGGCACATGTTGAAATAGCTTCTAACAAAAGGAATCCCTTCGGATGCTACGCACACGCTTTCCGTTAAAAGGCGGCAAGCGGCAAACAATATTTAGCTGAAGGGGCAATGAGTCTGCAGCAGTAGCCTTGGAGTATACTGACGGTTCAAAGTCTCCAAAGTGGGTTATAAGGACTAATCATTTGACTACTGAGTACACTGTCCTTCAAGTAATGAAAACACGCTTCCAAGTTCCAACAATCATTTACCAGGATTCCTAATCCGCGTTCGTGGTGGGAGACCACAGAAACAACGAAAACCACTAGCATCTGAAATCAGGATAAATATTTAACTTCGGATAAATCCGGAGGATGCTAGTCAGGGGAAACCCCTCAAATCGATCATGTTCTTAAGAGAAACCCCTAAAATCGACACCCAACAATCAATAAAAACAGGGGCCCGCATAGCCGCCCACACTCTAAAATCGAATCCACCTGACTACTGTCCTACGGACTAGTTCGAAGTTGACATTGAGGATTTACTTTGAACACCGCAGCTAATTGAGGACCCCGTCGAAACGCAGACGGCGGGGCAGTCCCTGGGCACTACAGGCACTCGGGGCACTAGGACTGCACGGAAGGAATTGCCCCTTGGCCGAAAGACCATGCGCGCGACTCGGCGCGAGTGAACGAACTCGCGGTACCCGCAAGAGTTGGTCTCTCTCTGTCTCTCTCTCTCTCTCTCTCTCTCTCTCTCTCTCTCTCCCTCCCCCTGTAAACTTCAGAAGCATCAAAAGGACCCCATGCTCATCAGAGGTTCTCCTTTGGAATCTTGCTACGTGGGTCCTCCTGGGTAAGCCCTCCAATGCTCTCCAGTGTCCCTATGAATCCATATTGGAAGTCAGGTGCCTGAAGAAAACATGACAATCTCAAATGTTCTCCGTCGAAATGGGTGGCTTGTACCGCCTCTCACAAAGCAACCAATAGGTGTTTGCTTCGGAGACCCTCGAAACACCCGTGGGAAGCACTCCAAGGTTACTCAAACGGAGCTGCCTATAGGGACACCCAAAACGCTGGGCTTTTCGGTTGGTTTCCCTTATCCAACCTGAACAGCTCGTACAGCCAACCAGGGAAGCCCCTCAGTAAAAGTACAAACCCACTTGAACTGATGACAACTCCCAGTCTGTCCCACTGGCTTGGGGCTCGTGCCAATGGTCAAAACGCGACCATAAACTGGCCATCCCTACCAACCCTAGTGAAAGCGGCGTTTTGAGTATCAATTAGGGTGAAATCTGGAGAAAAAACAAAAAACCAAACCAAGGAGCTTTGAGTGTTCGCGACTCACCCCCTTGGTGCCTCTGCAAGAGCAATTCATGACTTAATTGGGGATCGAAGGTCCCTGAAATTGTCAGAGTTCCTGGGTCCGAACACTCAGACGAGTTTCTCCTGCGAGCTCCTGAAATGGCGGTTCTGCCGAGTAACTTGCCAACGATGAGGGCTTGCTGCCTCATCGCTTACGGTCTGGATGGCTGAGATGCTTCAATGGAAACCCGACTCAAACTGGATCATATCATTTCCTCGTGACGTGGTCAAATCCGTGTGTTTGCTTTGTTTTGTTTACATGCATTGGGTTGGTTTGCTTGTTATAAAAAACCAGTGTTGTGTTTTGTTTTTATATATATATATATATAAACACCCAATGCATGTGACAGGTTGAAAAACAACAAAAAACAACACATTGCTACTGACAAATCTGATTTGTTAGCCATCGAAATGGGACGTTCATGCAATTGCTTGTACCCCATTGGTGAGCTTGGAAGCATGCAAAGGCATCCAAACTGTTTGCTATGATCTACTGCTAAAATATCGCCAGCCCGGGTCTGAGCTTGGCCCGACCATGACGCCCAGGAGCGTTTCTCAGAATCGACCTCTATGGTCTGGAATGGATTTATGCTAAAGGAACATCAGAGAAACACATCACCCACCATGCATAACCGGGTATTTGGAGACCATACACTTACTTCAAAGTCGAGTTGCAGGTGAGGCAGATCTAGGCGACTTTTCGGATGCAGTGCTGAAAGAGGGGAGACCAACTGGTCAAGTCTGAAGTGTTGATTTAGCATCCACCGAAACAGGCGCCTTTACCCAGTCACATCATCCTTGCTAGATGGTTAAACGGCTTCTAAGGAAAAGCAGTCTTGTGACCAACCAATGATGTTCGGATCAGCCCAGAGGATTACAGAACTGACAAATCCCCAAAAATGAACTATCGCCGCAAAAGGGTAACCCCCCCTGCTATGAAATCTCCTCCAGAGTCATGTGAAGATGATATCCGTCGAGTTCTTCAGTGACCCTCAAGCTTGCATCAGGACCATTTCCAGGAAGCTGCCCAGAAGGGACTGGGCAGCCCAATGGATCCCAGGCGTTTCGCCCCTGTCAACTCTTCGCCATTTTGCCTGGCGCTTAAAGGGTCTAGGTCCTCCTGTAAAGGGGTTAGAATAAGGGTACCTCGATGGTTTTCTGTAGTCGATATGGTAAAAAGGGCACTACGGTGGTTCCCTGGGTTGCCCGCTACGCAAGGATTTGGAACCGCTACGGCCCTGGGGCGAATTACGCAGGCCAGCTCTGAGTGAGACAGTGGGCAACGATGGATCACTTGGAACTGGCCTCAGGGTTCCATTTTTGGGGGCTGGTGGAGTGCCCCCAAAAGGGCAGCCCCTGGGTTTGCACAATGCCCGGTAGATGGCAAGTAAAGGGAAGGACTAGACCAAAATGTGTGCAAATGCCTAGCTCCAAACTGTAGGTTTTATTTTGCGGAAATCAAACCTGGGAACCCTGGGCCGCGATTTCTTGTCGCTATCTGGGCGAGTCTTGCATCAAGTCCTGGTACTGGTTCAGAATGTCCCAGAACACCTCGTCCTCACCTGGACAAAACATGGGTGTGTCTGTTTTGAGGGTACCCATGTTTGGGCTGCTGTAAAGAAAAAACCGCAAACGATCCACTGTAAAAGATGCATCATTCTAGCTCCGTTGAAGCGGAGTTCCTCGCAAACAGAGGGACCAACGTAGGGAAGAAGGGGACCATACTATTTGCACAGAGTACTGTAAACCAACTGCCCAGGAAATTGTCAGTTGCTCACCTGATGGCCGGGACCACCCAATTCATGTGGCCCGTACGAGAAGAAACCCTAGGTTTGCTATAGAAGCATGAGTTGGATGTACTGGTAGCCAACTGCCGTTGCCATTTGGCCAAAGTTCAGGATTACCTGATGCGA